CGAACTCGGTACCCGACCAAGTAGTCTGTCATGGCCCATTTCGTTATTTTAATCACGTTCCACACATTTCAAGCATTTCAAACAAGTTAGGGACCAGTCGGCGATCATGATGACCAAAAGTAATACGTTTTGTGGAGCTTGAACACCATTGAGCGCATCGCTACGCAGTAGAGACATGAAACCAAAATTTCGGGCGGAACACGATGAGCATTCTTCATGCATAATTTGATGCTCTCCTGACTGCCTCGTTGTAGATTCGTGCAAGACTATCTCCTCTGAGTGCATGTGTATCCTTGTAGAAGGTGGACAGGGTAAAATAGAAGTACAACGTGGAAAAGAATTGAGACAGAGGGCCTAAAACAGTCAATTGCACCCTTCCGATAATCCCAGACGTTTTTGGCATTCGTGATGCGTCTTTTTCGGTAAACCGAAAATGTGCTTACAAATCACAGCTCGATTGATAAATGTTAACAAATACGAGTTGGCTCTACTTAATTTATTTTTCGCATTTAAGTATTGCCTCAAAACTGCCATAGTAGTTGTCATGATTCCCAGCATCAGACAGTGAATTTGGTACATTCTCAGACGTTTCGCCGGCATCGTAGTCGGCATCATCAGTGGGTGCTGCCATTCTCCGCACCAAGCTAAGAAATCGTCACAGAGACAAGTGAAGTCAATCTTTCAACAAACGTTCTGCCGAAAACAGTTACACTATCACTCCTCTTTCTGTCCTGGCCTATCTATCTACTCTTTAACCTCTTATCCACAGAAAGAGAAGTGCTAGTGTAACCGTTTTCGGCAGAACGTTTTTCGAGAGATTGGCTTCACTTGTCTCTCTGACGAGTTAGTAGTTTGGTGCGGAGAATGGCAAAGCTCACTGATGATGCCAACTACAAGGCCGGCGAAACGTTTGTGAATGTACCAAGTCCACTGTTTGACGCTGGGAATCATGACAACTACAATGACAGACGACTTCGGACTAGATGCGTTCTACTAAGTCGCCATGACAACAAGACCAAGTTGCGACAACGAGGCCAACCAACTTCTATAAATCGAAAGGAGACTGCTACCATACCAGAAGCTACAACATCTTGGTCTTCATATCTAATATCCTATTTTACAGTTTGCTTGCTGATTTAGTAAACTTCTATTTTTCCATTAAATCGACTAGATTACTCATATGCATAGTTAGTAGGCCTCGAGACTGAGTCCTTTAACAAAATGCCCTTATGGTCCACGGATTTAATCTAACTGGAGTTGTTGAAGGGGCAAAATCGAGTATCGAGTCTAGCTTACAGGAGAACGGTCCTTCAGAATAAACGGCGAATATAAGTCTAACCAATAAATCGAGCGCTTTCTTTGATTCATCCAGAGCGGAATTGTTATCACATTATTACAAAAACATATATCAAAGGTTGATTTAGAGTCTACCAGTGAAATTTCAATTGAAACTTAGAAGCGATAGAAGTATTGCTACTTGAGACTCTGGCAATATAATGAACTTAAGGCCTCCTTATGTCATTTTAGTTTAATAAGATTTACTTGTTGAGCTCACTTCCATTTCGAGTAAAAGATTTTGCTAAATAAATTCGCATTTCCATCCAACCAGAAGACAATGGAGGATTCCTCTCGACCGGTTGTCGATTGGCTTTACTAGTGCATTCTTGTTGACGTTGTTTCCATGGCAATCTCCTTCGATTCCGGTTAAAACATATTGAACTAACGAGTTGGCCTGGATATGGTTGCAAGAATGATACCCTGTTCTGATTATGCCCATTATACGATGGACAAAAGCTTAACACATTTTCATCGAAATCAAAGGAAGAAGAGTCAACTAGAATGTTTCAGTAAGGTCAAATTACAAGTGTTCAAGAGGGATCCGCATTTGTCTTCTGGTGGGATCAACCTACGAATCTCTTCGCCAAACACTTTCTCTTAAAATGAAAATGAGCTCAACAAATAAAAATATTGAGATTCCCCTTAAATCTTCCTCCTCCCCGCCCGGTCGGAATTTCAATCTTGCCTGGTTTTCATTGCACTTCAAGAGATTAGAAAACGTTTAGTTGTGTCAGGCGGCAACCTTAGCAGTACGTCACGAGGTAACAAGCGCCAGGGCTAACAAGACAGGTATGACTTTCCAAGCAAATCAGGACTTTGCAAATTCCCACTTAATCTTTGTCATTATGATTGGCCAAACTACTATATACCAAATAAGTAGGCATCAAACCTGTTGCACTACTACACTATGCATTAAACGCCAGTTGAGTTGCTACAAACTTGCTCTACTCTATTGGTCACTCACTTGAGGTAGTGCTTAATAAGGGGAATGTGATGAGGCAGAAAATTTCCCACACATCTGCATTTCGATTATATTTTACCTTTAGCTTCGGGACAAGGATCAAGGCATTTTTGTATCATAATCGAGGGTAAAAGCTCTCGAGTAGGCAAGACCATGGACTGCAATAAAAGGATGCCTTTATGCTGCAACAGTCTATGCAGGTAACCCTAAATATGAGATTGTCCTCTCCAGTGAAGAGACTTCCTGTTTGATTCAGGATCTGAGTGGAGGATGAGCCCGATACGCATATCCAGATGAAGCATGGACCAGAAACTGAATGCCCGAGCCACTCTGTACATTTCGTAGTGAGAGGGTAAGAGGGGCAAGCGGACAATGATGCCATCCAATAACGTCACAGAGGCCGGATGAGGTGCAAGTGCCCCTCCGCCGGTGATGAGTCAAGGTCAAGTACCAACGCCTGCCGTGTCGAAGGCTGGAGTCATACATCAGCCAAGTATTTGGACATTTATATTTATCACATATTTCGTCATTCTAGAGTTATAGTGAGCTTAAAGTGCTATCTTGTCTTGCCTCAAATATCTGTGATGCCTGTCTAAGTCTGATGATGGTCAAGGTCACTTAGTTACACATACTCCTCTCCTAAATAAAATCGTTTGCATCACGAAGTGATCCAAATGTAACCAAAGCCAAAGTAAATTTCGATCTGT